TCATTCTCTTTTTTCTTTACTTCTTTAAGGAACCCTGTAATTTCTTATTCTTTCTCCCCCTCTGCTTTTGCTTTCTTGTCCCCTCTGTCCCCCTGAACTCTTTGAAATTGGCTCTCTGCCTGCTGACACCAAACTGATACTTTGCGTTTCACTTCTCCTTATCCCTTTATGGCAACAGATGTTGAAATTTTGTATCCTTTTATCTGCCCGGCTGCCCTTTCCTGTAATTACGTCGCCTTGTTAGCAGTACAAAGTGGGCTGCCTGGCTGCCTGGCCTTTGAGCCATTGTGTCTGAACACGTGTGCTCTGGTGGGTGCTGGAGGGGATGCATGCTCACACACACGCATGTGACAGCCACTGTGTGCCTCCTCCCCACATCACCCTCCTCCCTACATCATCATCATCCCCACATTCAGATCTGGGGCAATGTGGCAACTTGAGTTTGATCCCCAAAACCCCCATGTATGGCAGGAGATAATGGACTCCTTTAAATTGTCCCCCAGCTTACGTAAGCACACTGTGGCAACCCCAACCTTTCCAAGGAATGTTCGAAAAAAAATTTTTTTTAAAAATTTGGGATATGTTGCCTTGATTCTTTTACTTCCATTGAGGATCAGTCCCTTAGGCACCTTAGGTAACAGAGGCCTGCGAAGTACAGGTGAGGACCTGAAGGTGGACCTTGTATCTGCTGGGCAGGGCCGGGGCTTGCAGCCAACTTGACCCTCCTGTTCCCATAGGGGCAAGTCACAGGACTCCTGACATGTGGCAGGGTCCACTCACCCACGGCAGAACAGTGAGAGACCAAGACACATCTGGTACTGGTGCTCCATTGTTGCAGGAAAAAGTGGTAGATTTGGAGGCTTAAAGAACACGAAGTTAGCCAGGTGTTGGTGGCGCATGGCTTTAGCCCCAGCACTCAGGAGGCAGAGACAGGTGGATCTCTGTGAGTTTGGGGCTAGCCTGATCTACAGAGTGAGTTTCAGGACAGCAAAGGCTACACTGAGAAACTCTGCCTTGAAAAACCAAAGTGGGAAAGAACAGAGAGAGAGACCTCGGGCCTATTCTCAGGAGCACATGAGCCAGTGTGTGTGAAGCATGTGTAGTGCCAGTCAGTGACTCAACCCTGAGCTGCCGCAAGGTAGCAGCTCCTTTCTCTGCCACACAGTCATCTCCATTCCTGTCAGGGTACCTCCAGGCTGGGTCTGCAGCTCAGCCTGGATTCTGTCTTCTTGGTATGAGACTTAGGATATTTCCCACTGTAGCTTTGGCTTTTTATTACCAATCAGAGGTCTGACTGGAACTACTACTTTGCCCCAAAGCCACACAGCACTTTTCGCCAGGTAGGGATGTGTGTGTACCTGCAGGTCTCTGGGGACCAGGTGCCAGAGACTGCCATGCACCCCTCACAGCCTCATCACCTTTGCTGTTGTCTGTCACAATCCCGTCATTAACTAAAGAATCACTCATTCCCCTCACCCCATATCGTCTATTCATCCTTATAGAACGTTCTATCTTTCTCTGTATTGTTGGTGGGGTATAAATTTAGACTTCTCTCCTTACTGCACAGTGTCTCCTTCATGGTGCAGCTCACATCTCCTGCAGTTTCTGTGAAAGCACAATACCTTGCTCAATTAATGGTTAAGGGAGGAGAAAAGAGGGAAAATTACGCATTCTTTAGTGACCCCTGGGATTGATTTAACTTACAGGCCATTTGCCCTTGGAGAGAAGAGATAAACTGCTTGCCATACTTCAATCTTTAAAAACTACTTCTGAGGTTCAGGGTGGCACATGCCAGACGAGGCATCCTGACACCTGAAGGGAAGCAGCGTGTCCATGCACAGGACTCCAGGGACCACCAGACACCAGTGCTAAAAGTAACTGGTGTGGGAGCCACAGCTTGTGTCACTGTGGGCTGGGAGCCTCAGAATACTCTAGTGCAAGAGGCCTGTGCTGGGTGCTGGCCAGAGAAGGGCAAGGACAGGGCTAAGAGTGAGGCAGGCCTGGCGTGTAGACTTGGCAGGGTTCGGGATGGAGGGGCAGGGGAATGCCAGTGCCAACTGGGTTACTGTGGCTGATGGCAGTACATTATTTACTTTTTCTTCCTATTGGTCAACAGGAGAGACTCTTCAAGGAAATGGTCCCATTCCCCTTTCTCCTGCACTGGTACCAGAGGCTGTGCCATGGGAACAGCATTCCTACTTAGCCTGTCTCATTCATCAGGCTCACCCTGCAGGCTGCCCCATCTGTCTTTATCTTTCCCTGGGTGGAGAGAGAATTGCTGGAGTCAGGCTCAGGAGCCTAGGGTGTGGAGGTCTCCAGCCCTCGGCAGCTCCTGGAGGCCATGCTTTGTCTACAAGAGCTGGGACGGAAGGGGCTTCTTTGTGTGGCTCTCCATAGTGACAAGCCCAGTTGTTGCTCCTGTCTTGGCCTGGGGCTCTGAGCAACAGCCCCGTTCCCACACAAGTTGTGGGACAGCCAAGGCTACACACACACACACACACACACACACACACACACACACACACACACACACACACACACACACACACACACCTCCTTGCCCCCTACAGTGAGAGGCCGAGAAACATTCTTAACATTCTTTCCAGAGAAAAGGGGTGAAATGTCTGAATTTGGGGGTCACCACGTTATACAAATTGCAATCTAATCGTTTTTACAAGAACACACTTGCAGTGAGAAAAACAGCACAGGAGGGGACAAGGAAACAGACAGAGTGTGTAGGGCTATTGTTGGGACAGTCTCTCCCTCCATCACAAGTTAGGCTACAGTTTTCTGCTTCAATTGGGCCTGGGGTGGGACCAAAGGGCCCATGTTGCCATTTCTGTTTGTTTTCCCAAATGAAAGCCCCAGCAGGGCTCCTGTGGCACTGCTCGGCCACTGTTAGAAGAGAAGAGACAGCCACTTCCCAGAGCCTGGCCCATCAGCTGATGCTCTCAGCTCTACCTTGCAGTGCCGTGACAGCGCCCAGGCACCTGAGCTCCAGGCCAAAGAAACCGCATCTTTTATTGGTGGCTTAAAGTGTGTGTGTCCACTTGGGAGTCCCAGAGAAAGTAAAGCAGAAACGGCTCAGGCCTGCTAGCAGATAAAGGGCTGGGCCTTTGCATCTCCCCAGACTCCTCGGGCTGTGCAGCATCCGTGGCTACTCGGGCAGTGGACAGGACCCAGATTGGTGGCTCGGTGTGGATGTGGCCTCTCTCTTCCGACCCACCAGCAGTGGGCACCCAGCTCTGAGCCTCTCAGGATCCCAGCAACAGGGTGGGCAGGCAAATGGGGCTCCCTGGACTCCACCCCTACACCCAGTCTTTCATCTTGTATTTTAAACAAACATGAAATTACTTCCATAGATTAAAGGGGAGAGAGGGCTCCTCAATCACTCCTTACAGTCTCGCTAATGGAGTGGGCAGGGTCCCAAAATCCGGAAAGGAGGGAGGGCTGTGGAGTGAGACAGCTCCCACCTGGTGTTCACAAACGCAAGTGGGCCTCTGAGATGGGACCTCCCACCCCATGGCTGTCATGGTTGGTGGCTGCCCTAGAAAGGCAGGACCTCTCTAGGAGCAAGGCCTAGTGATCTTACAGACACGGACCCAGGGAGATGTCTCCTGGTCCCCCAGGAGCCCTGAAAGATGCCAACACTGGGCCATTGTATATATCAGGGCTATCCCTGGGAAGGTGGCTGGCACAGAGGTGCCAGTTTGGGATTTAACCCTTCAATGGACAGCAATAGTGTTCCTTGGAGGCCTTCCCAGTGTTCACGGTGAAAAGCTAAGTAGGTAAAGAGAGAGCCCCAGCCTCCTCCTTCAGTGCTTTTTAAGATGGATGCCTTTGGGGGAGCAGGCTGGGTGAGAGTCTGAGTGATGGGTACAGCCTGGGCCTGAAGTCTACATTTAAACACACGGCTGGCAGCCCAGCCTGCTCCAAGCCCCTGACGGGACACTGATCAGGCCAAAGTTGTACTCTTGAGTCCATGAAATCCACTCTTGTCCTGTGCCCAGGCCTCCGACCTGAGCATCCCTGGGGTTCGTCCTTTCCTGTCAGACCGTGAGGGCCGTGGAAAGGAAGCTGAGGCATTGGGCCCAGAGGGTGCGTCTTCTCCTTATTCCCTCCACATTCTGCAGAAGTTCAATGCATCCACCATTCCCTGGCCACAAGGATTAGCTGGTGCACTTGATGTTGAGGGTCAGTTGCTAGGGCCAAGGGGCCCCCCTACGTGGTTGCTAGGGGTCTGGCATGGGGCGAGAGGTCTGCCCACTGCCGCGGTCACGGAGGGAATTACACAGTCACAAAGAAATTGTTCTTCTCAGTAATCTGGTCTCGGCCACCGGGTGGGGTACGGGTGGGGGAGCAGGCTGGAGCCCAGCAGGCTGGGGGCTGTGATCACGGAGGCGTGCTAGCCCTGGGCTGGGGGCCAGAGGCCGAGAACACCAGGGACCAGCACACTAAGCTGCTTTCTCAGCTATTTCTGCCGCTGGACACAAAGGTGTTTACTTGTTTTAACATCTCCTAGGACTCCCCTTTCTCCCTTTGTGTGGTCTTTATCCCCAATAAGGTTTGAGCCCCAGATTACAGGCAGGAATTAAGGCCCTGGACTCTGGCAGCTCAGAGCTGCCTGACCTGCCAGATCAAGGAGTATAAAGTAACCAAGTGTGTGCTTGGGAGGGGGGCCGACCCCTTCCTTCAGCAAGACCCATTCATTGCCACAGAGGGAGCCGGCAGCCAGCATGCAGGTGTGATGGAGGAGGGCTGCTACATTTGCCCTACTGAGGCTTCAGCTAGGGGCTGGGGTACTGGGGGGAGGGGGTTGGGTAATTTCCTATTTGGAGGTTCAGTGGCTAGGTGTCTTCTCCCTCAACCCTCTTTCGGGGAGCACCCCCAGGTGATGGAGAGCTATGTGTGCCCAAGACCTGATGCCATTTGCAGGGTGATGTCATTTGCATGGCCAAGGTGGACAGTCTTTCACTTTCTGCCCTTCTTGTCTCCCCCAGTGGGCAGCTGATCACACATCTGGGCAGTGATTTTCCCCCAGGAGCTGGAGTCCTGGATGTCATGTATGAGTCCCCCTCTACACTGCTGTCCTGTGGTTATGACACATATGTTCGCTACTGGGACCTCCGCACAAGTGTCCGGTGAGTCTGCTGGGTGGGTAGAACACACAGAAGCCCTGTACCAATGCAGGCACTTGTAGTCCTGGGTCGGCCTGAGGCGGACACAGAGACTGTCAGCAAGGTCGTATCAAGTTCAGGTTCCCTACCCTTAGGCAGGGAGACTGAGAAGGGCAGACATTCCTCAGAGCCTCAAAAAGTCAGCAGGAAATGCTTCCTTGGCATCCTCGTGTGCGTCTGTCATGGATCCTGTGTCAGGTAGTCTGCCAGGAGAGCGTAGATGAGGATGTGTTGCCTCCGTGGCCCAAGGGTCACAGGCGGCCTCTGCAGCAGAGCCCCTCTCCATTAGCTTCGGTTGTTGAAGAAGTAATGTGAAGGCTTCACATTACTCTAGCAATTAGACTCCCTAACTTGACCCATCCCTGGGGAAGCTGGGCTGGAGGCCGGGCACCCAAACCCATTTGTATCACTTTCTCTTCCTGGACAGGAAATGTGTCATGGAGTGGGAGGAGCCCCATGACAGTACCTTATACTGCTTACAGACAGATGGCAACCACTTGCTGGCCACAGGCTCCTCCTACTATGGTGTTGTGCGGTTGTGGGACAGGCGCCAGAGGGCTTGCCTGCATGTAAGTGTTTCAACCAGTCTCTGCCTCTGGGATGTTGAGAATGATTGTGGGTTGACATGGCCAAGGTTGTGCCTATGGTACATGTCCCTGTTTCCCTGGGTCTGGGCTCCTGAGTTGACGCTCTCTCTAATCATCACTGTGCCTCCCTCCAGGCCTTCCCGCTGACATCGACCCCGCTCAGCAGTCCTGTGTACTGCCTGCGATTCACCACCAGGCATCTCTACGCTGCGCTCTCTTACAATCTCCACATCCTAGACTTTCAAAACCCATGACAAACCACCCTGCCTTTGAGCTGGGCGAGTACGCTACTCAGGGACCTCTCTTGCCTGGCAGGTGAAGTGACTGATACCTCACTGTCTTCCCAGCCCTGCTGTGCTCCTAGACCCGTGGCCACGATGCCCCAGCACCTGAAACGCTACCTTTTACACGCTGGGGCTGACTAATGCAGGCCCTGCCAGGACCTGTGGTCTTAGGAGAATGGACCTGAACTCAAGATGTTTACAATCGGGCCAAAGGAAGGGCCTGGACTGGCAAGGCCAACCCTGTCACCAGATCCTGCACAGAGCTACAGCAGCCTACAGTGAGCGGAGGGACTCCCAGCATCCCGGCTAGAGAGGCGCAGTTGCTAGAACTTCTGCTGGTACAGCCGCCACCTCCTCAGGCAGGCGTTAACTTCTTGGAGTTGGGGGCTCCCTTCTGAGGCACTAGCCTAGGTTTCCTTTGAAACTAAGGAAAAGGACACCTGTCACTTTGGGGTTCTGGGCTAGCCATTCCTCAGGCCAGCTTGGGAAATGTGCTGTGATTTTCAATTTTATAAAAATAAAATTTGGTTGTGCACAAATCTGGTTCTTTAGTGGTTAGGTCATTCTAGGAGGCCCCGGGAAGGCAGAAATCAGATTTAAGTTCAGAAATGTGTATAGGGGAAAGGACAGAACCATGGCTCTCTGTCCCCAAGAACAGGAGTGTGGACACGGGGCTTGGAAGGGCTCTAGGCTGTCAACCTGCTGTCACCTGAAGTGACCTCTCATTCTAACCCAGCATACACACACCTTTGACAACCTGTAACTGTGCTTGCTTTAATAACCGTGGTGTGTTAACATTTGTTTTTTCCAAGAGCGCAGATGTGCTCACATCTGCCTCAGGTGAGTCTTTCCTAGGCCACTTGTGCAAGGCCAGCCAGCACAGGGGAGTTCACAGGATACACAGCCTTATCTCTACTCTTCCCTCCTTTAGCTGGAAGGCTTGTGTGGCAGGTCTCCAGGATGGGAGGGGGGGTGGGTCACCACACCAGCATCTTCCCTAGGAAGGCCAGGGTGCCTGGAGACAGGCACCATACAGAAGTAGATAAAGGGGCAATCCTCTTAGAACACCTCCAAATGACTTTACTCAGGAGCAGAAGCACGCTGTGCCCCAAGAGCTAGTTCTTAGACAAGAAGAAGTGGCCCATGTCAGAAGAGCCAGGCCCACAAGTCTCACAGTTTGCTCCACACTGGAAGTCCAAGGCTCAGGAGAGCTACTGGGTCTTACAGTCCCCATCACTGCTGTGGGCCGTCTTTACCTTCTTTAGCTCCTTCTGGAGCTCTGACTCAGCTGCCATGACCTCCTTTGGCTTCTGATACTGTGGAGGGGACCAGGGAGAAAGCATAACTCAGTTACTAGCCCCTCCATCCACACACTCACCTGGCTCTTCATGCCCTCTTATACATGAGGAAACGTAGGTGTACAGGTCTGAAGGACCTGCTCAGGTTCTGGGGCTGGGGAGGAGCAGCCCCACGACAAGAACCCAAGTCCTGTGAGTTTTCACTGCTTCTCCATCATACCCTGTCGTGTCATGCCCCCAACCCCACTCCTCCCTGCCCTACCCCGCCCTGCCCCACCCCACTCTCAGCTTGGTAGTGTGGCTCTTTCTTGGTCTCCACCCCCCGCCCTCCAGATGAGTAGGAGATGCCTGTTCTTCAATAAGCACATTTAGGGCTTGGGATGCCTGGAGGCAGGGAAGTGGGTAGGGGAAGGGGAGCCTCTTCCTGATGCTAAGTCTGGACAAATCTTACAGAGATGATCAGCGTGCAGTTGGCGTGAGCAAAGCTCAGTGCAGAATCATCCAGAGGAAGCTGGTGTCTGTCTAGGTCAGGAATGGAGAACTTCTTGTAGTACCTGTGGGGACACCAAGAGGCTACTGGGGAACCAGCAATGGCAGCCCTCACAGTTAGGTACCAGGCCCTATGCCACAGGTTTCTATACAGCTCTCCCCCCCCCCGCCCCGACTTTCTATAGGCGAGACAGGAAAGGGGGAACCCACAAGAACAACCTAGTTTGAGTTTGTGGTTCTGGAGTCAAAAGGATGGTGGTAGCCGTAGGCCAGGCCAACCAAAGGTGAGCAGAACCAGAAGGAGTTCTGAGATTAGCCCAGGGGAGGGAGTGACTCACCAAGAGGGCTGGCACGCCCAGCTATCCAAAGAGCATCCCAGGGCTCATGGGGACTCCAGAAAATGGGGCATTTATCCCAGCAAGCATCAGCGGGATGTCTAGGGCTGTTTACCTAAAGTAGTACAGTTACTACTTCCATGAGACCTCGATGAAAGATTGGGCCACTTTTGTCCCTTCCATGACAATGATGTGTCTTTCCAGGCCTTATTAGACCGGCCACTGAAACCAGACAGGAAGTAAAGTTCACCTCAAGGGGCTATCTTCCTGGGAGGACAAGAGACTAGTGGAACTGGATCTCAGACTCGGGACCCTTTTTCTCCATTTCATGTACAGTAACCGCAAAACCAACCAGATAGCACAGATTCTGAGGCTTTGCCAAGAGGGAATGCAGCTGAGGGAGGTGGGGGCTGCCTGCTTTCCCGGTCAGCTGTCAGCAGTGGAGTCAGGGTCAGAGATTTCCTCATGCCAGAGCCTAAAGAAAGGCCCTTCCTCTCAACTCCCTTAGTGGCCGTGTGGGCTGGGCACTAGCCAGCGGCTCCTAGAGCCCCTACCTGGACAAGTTCCTTTCTGTAGAGAGCGGCTGTGTGGGCTGAGGAGGGAAACGCCTCAGGCAGGTACAAACAAACTCAAGAGAAGGGCCTGGAGAGAAGGGGCTTTTAATACTTCAGAGGGACCTGGCCCTTGTGGTGACAGCTACACTGAGTCCACTTCAAAAGCCCTGATGCCCTGGGGACTCAGAGAGCTGACATCAATGCAGTGCCTCTGCCCTGTCTTCCCTGCCCAAATCCCTCAGTTCAGAAGAGGCTCTGGGCCCCTCTCTCCCAGGTTCCCCTCTCCCCACCAAGGTGCTGGGACCCAAGGAAGGAAAAGAATGTTTGTGTAAAGACTGACAGTTCAAAAGGAGTGGGGGCTGGGATCCTAATGGTTCTGCACGCTGCTTTCTTTTCCAAAGCTCTGCCCCAGGGAAAGGCGATCCATCAGCCGCAATGGGTGGAATGCTTGCTACATCCTCTTCCTAGCCAACAGGCTGAGTGAGCGCTTTTCCTGGGGCCCTGGTCTGGCTAGCAAAGGTGGCAGACACTGATAATAGCAGGGGGTCAAAGGTTAAACAGCAGAGATTAGGTGAACACAAAGGCTTGTTAGGAAGTGTTAACATCTTCCCTGCAAATACACACAGAAAGCAGAACCTGAGGAGAAGCTCCTCCCACCCCAGGCGGGGCCAATGGAGGAGCAGCAGCTCAGGGCTTGTCCCCACCCCCACGCCCCCCAAGGCAAAGTCAGAATCACAGAGAACTTAAGGGGTCTGGCTTGTCCCCTTCCCTTCCCCCGTTCCTGCCTCCAGTCCAGGGAAAGCACAGGCCCGAAATACGATGGATTTCGTTTACTGGGTGAGGGCAAACAACCCCCCTGGAGACTCGCCTTTCCCTCTGCACAGTCGCCCCCACTCACCTACTCCTCCTAGGGTTTGCCACCACCAAAACTGAACTGAATGTCACCCTCTGTGCTTCTGGAAAAGTCGGAGCAACTTCTCGTCCCACTCTGCTTAGGTCCCCTGCCCAGTTCCCTGCCACCCCCACACGGAACAGAAGAGGTACAGATCAGGCTCGGGAAAGCCTCTGCAGGAGCGCTGAGGCAGAGGCAGGGGCAGGGCTGCTGTGGACAGTTGCTCGCCGGCCTACACTCCTCTAGCCTGCACACTGGCGTGGCAGGGATCCAGAAGTCCCCAGCCAGTCTTGCCCTGAGAGTGGCAGCAGCTAAAGAAACTTACACCTCGAGCACTGGGCAAACTACACCGCTACTTCCTGCTGCCCGTAGTAGAGTCACAACCAGCAGACTCAAGGCTCCACCGAGTCTGACTGTCGAGGTCATCCGAGCATGGGGTTGGGTCGTCTAGTAATACTAGTAAAACCCGCAGTTACAGTGTCATCAATGCCAAGTTAGCCAGGGTCTCTTCAGATCCCTTGCTTTGGCAGCTTGGCCATGGTATACAGGGTGTGTTCATGTACGTAACATCAGATTCCTCAAATGTGAGGTATTGTAAGCACGTTTCTCACAAGTGAGGAGAACTTGGAGGGAATCTACTGCTGACACCTGGCAGGGGCTAGATCTAAGCTAGGGTCTTCCTAGTCCAGCACACCACATCTTTCCAGTTACGGCTGCCAGCTTCCAGGCTGAGTCGTGGAACCCTCTTTATACACAAACATGCTTATCAGGACCAGGCGGTGCCACACCAGGTTCCTACAGGAAAGGTTTCAACCTTCCCAATCCATCCTATTAATACCCGAGGCCAAGGACCACAAGACAGTGGCATCGTCAAGTAGAGTGCCTAACCCAGGTCTGCAGGGACCAGGGAGACACCAACACGGCAACTGAGTAGCTCTGGTCAGGAAGCACGGGTCAGAATATTAAGAAAAGTGTCATGGTGGGGTACACTGCAAATGCCCAGGCGATAGGCGAGGAGGCCACGCTATCCTGCATATGCCACTTTATGACTTTCATATGTATTTCTATAACCACATATATAGGTAAGAATAAATATGCTTATGCCCACCTCTGGATGGTGTGATGATCAGGAGAGAGATTTAAAAAGTATTCTAAAAGAAATTATATTCTGCTCATATAAAACCTTGTTGTGTTTTGTTTGATGGCTGCAAGTACAGGTAGCAACTATATTTCTCCAGGTAGAAGGTAGGGATTCCACTGGGCACAGGAAAGGGCTGGTGGCCTCTCCAGCCTCCTTCCTACAAGAGGGACCTGCAGGGGGCAGGCTGAGCCCAGTTAGGACTCAGAAACTCAGTTCCAGAGTAGGCACCAAAATGTCATTTTTCCCCTTTGTGGGAAGCCTTCCTCCTAGGGTACCACTCCCATCCTACCTTGCCTCTAATAGCATCTCAAAAATGTCTCCAACCCCTGCCCTTGGGTGCTAGAATGCCCCACTAGCTACAGAGCCCCTGGCCAACAGCGCCACCTATGGCATACATGGTATCCGCTTGCTTTGCAGGCGATGGGACCCAGAGGACTGGCTCACAGATGAAATTTTTGGTGAGTTAGCTGTCTCTCTTCTAGCACTCACTTGTAATCACGTTTCTGCCTGATATCTGTATTCCACAGTGACCTCTGGGGGACAAACAGGAGGCAGCAGCCAGGTCCACAAAGTGCTAAGCTGCAGATTCAGATGCTATCAGAAGCACTTTTGTTCCCAGTTTGGGCCCAAGGCTTCATACGCCAGGGAATGCTTGCTGAAGCACGGAGTTTGTTTTCCTACAGGCAATTTCTCTGTTGTCTGAAATTGCTAAATTCCACTTTAGGCACTGACTCCTGTTAATGATGAGAACAATAACGGGAATAAACTGCCTTTTATCTGAGGACTTCAGCGTGCTTTATAAACGCAAACCCTTATTATTATGACTCTATATTTATAGACAGGGTCCACTACAGGGGCTGCTGGCTGCATGTACAGCAATAACCCTGAAATTAATTCATTCATCTCTACCCTTTCCCTTGTCCCTTAACCCTGCCAAAGTGACAGGCTGTGGGGGTGCTAAGAGGAGGCCAGGGCTGCACTGTGGGTGACTGGGGTTCCCCTGTCTCCCTGTAGGTAGGCCTCTTAGCTCAGGGAGACTAGGTCACACCACCTGAAGCGGGTGGGAGCCTCCCGTGAAATGCAAATGCTATACAGGCACCATGGGGTTAGGCTCTGTACCCCAAGCAGCAAGCTGGGTAGTTTGGCAGCTTGTGGATAAGGAGATTTTAAAAAATCTCCCAAAATGAAGTTCCAGTTTAGAATTGGCCCCATATTCTCTCTAGTTCAGGCTGAAACTGATTTACTTCCAAACTCTTCAACTGTGACCAGTCAGAGCACCAGAAACCCAAATGTGAGCATACCCTGGCCACTCTAAACCTGAACACCCACTGCCTCCCTCAGCAGATCACAAAGGGAATCTGAAGCAGAATTCTAGAGGTTTCCGAGAGCCAAACTTCTGCCTACTTCCCCTTAGCCCAGGGAGAGACGAGGACTGTCACTGCAGTTTGATGTTTTACTCTCAAACTGCCACCCAGGCAGGTTGTGTCTTCCAGGACATGGCTACCTGCTAAGTCAGTGACGTCATCAAGCCAAGTTCACCAGGTCAAGGACATAACAACCTTTGAGGAAAACTACAGAGGCCAGAGTTAAAGGTTATGTGATTCCCTTAAGCACTCATTCATTCAACAGACAGTCACATGAACCTCAGTACATGCCGGGTTCCAAACTAGACACTGGCTCGAGTTCTAGCTCGATGAGCTGCTGCAGTTACCCCGCCCACTCTCAGCACCCCTGAAGTTTAAGTTCAGTCTGAGATTTCAGCCACTCTACCCCAGCTCACGTAAAGTAACAGCTGCCCACCACGCTACTCACTTTTTGTTGGTCGTTCTAACAATGACACAGCGCTCTTTCTGGGCCACAGAGACACTATAGACATCCTTTGGGTAGGGGAGATTTCGAATGCGCCACTGGAAACTTGTTTTGGTGTCCTTGCGCATGAAGATGGGCTGTGAAAAGCCAATCAGCCCAGGTCAGCCTCAGGGTCGATACACAGTAGAATGACCTTGAATTTCTGCTTCTCCTGACTCTATCTCCCCAAGCGCTGACATTACAGGCGTGTCTATGATGCCCAGGTTATCAAGGACCATTCTTGGGGAAAAGTACAAAGAGTTGGCCCCTCACCCTTCCCAGGTGCTAGCCAGAGCCAGACAGGAGGCCCTCTGCTCTGCTCCATGGCTCCCACCTGAAGCTGTTGCTGTTGCTGTGACATGCAGGGAGGCCTTGCCCTGGAATGGCCAAGATAAACCCTTTTGGTGTTCACACACACCTAGTGTGGTTAGGTGGGCATAGTGGATCTAAGATGGTGAACAAATCATGGTCCCTGCCCTGAGGGGTCGGAAGGGAAGTCTCCTCCCAGTCCCCATGAGGCACTGGACAAACAGACATACATTGGCATTACTTTCCTTGATGAGCTCGGATCCCAGGCTCCCGGCTCCTGAGAGCACTGGCTCTCCCACTTCAAGCTGCCACTGGCCCAAAGCTCCCAGGGCATTTTTCACACGCCATTTTCTCACTGGGGAGAGAAACAAACAAAGGGTGAAAGCTTTCCCCGCCATATCTGACAGGACATTGGATAACTGGAACAGGACAAGCTGGCGCTCCCATCTCAATGCGGGGCCTTTGCATCTGACCGGGAATCGCACAACCTGTGAAACCAAACTAGGCCACTTCAGCGGCGGGGTGCAGAGTCCACTTCAGAGGCAGGCAGACAGCCAGAACTGGGCTACAGCTCTGAGAGGCGCCATGGTCTGTGGCACCAGGGAGGACGCAGAGAGCCGACAAAGGCCATTTTTGGGAATGGGAATCTGGGTCTCTAAATGGAGTTTAACTGTGGTTTGCTGTCTTACTAGATAGCCTGGGCTGTTTTCACACTATCCCTTCTGACTTGGCGTCAGGTGTAAGGATTGCAGGAGTGTGCCCGCTTGCCCAATTTTGATGTATCCCCTGCCCCCCTAAAAAACGATGCAAAGGAGAATGAACTGAGTGAAAGCTGTTGTCCAGGTTTGTCTCACAGTTCAGAAAGTCCACACAAAGACATTCATTTATTTCAGGAACACCTAGTTTAACAACAACAAACAGAAACCCCACAGCCCAAAAGTTGTTTTTAAATAATCTTGAGCTAGGGTGTAACTCAGAGTTTTTCCAAGTATAAGAATCAACCTCAGCTGGGCAGTGGTGGTGCACGCCTTTAATCCCTGCACTGGGGAGGCAGAGGCAGGCGGTCTCTGTGAGTTCGAGGCCAGCCTGGTCTACAATAGTTAGTTCCAGGACAGCCTCCAAAGCCACAGAGAAACCCTGTCTTGAAAAACAAAAACAAACAAACAAACAAACAAAAAGAGCTAGTTCTAGGACAGGTTCCAAAGCTACAGACAAAACCCTGTCTCGGGGAAAAAACAAAAAACAAACAAAAAAAAGACTTATTTCTGTTTTCTGTGTTTGGCCTACAGTTATACACTACATTTTAAATGCACTAATTATAAATGTGATGTTTTTGGTAAAAAGGACCTTTACATATATAACTTGACAATGCAGATAACCATCGTTACTTTCCCATGTTTTACAACTCAGACGGTGGTGAAAGGGTTTTAAGCCCCGCCCCTCCTTCCTTTAGGTCTGTTTTGAGATGAAAATTCATTCTGTAGCCTAGGCTACTACTGACCTCAGGGTGGCTTTCTGGCTCAGCATCATGGCTTATAGACCTGAGCCACCCTGCCTGGTTTTCGTTTTGTTTTTGTCTTTTAAAGTAAGGCACATATATTATGGGAACCCTAAACCCAGACCTGAGTTCAGGACTGGGAAAACTGCCAGGATCTCGCTGAACAGCCTCAGTCCTGTGCTGGGGGCTGCTGTACAGTCCACCAGAGACGCTGGGCTGCGGCGCACCCTCCATCCCTGCCTTCCTGCTGTAGTAAGACGCCTGGGCTGCCGAGTTGGGGCATCCTCCCGCAAGGGCTGAGCAGTCACTGCTAAAATCTTGCAGCCTCCTACAGCTGCTCTAGGAGCTGAACACCTCGGAAAGGGCCTGGTGGGCTACCGCGGCTGCTGCCAGGGGCGGGTCTCTTTTTCAGGAAAGGGCCTGGTGGGCTACCGCAGCTGCTGCCAGGGGCGGGTCTCTTTTTCAGGGTGGGGCGGAAGGGGGGCAGCATCAGGCCTGCAGTTTCTGAGCAGCTGGGCCAGGCTTGCACATGCACACTCCTGTGAGCACAAAAGCCAAACACAAATCCGTGATGTAGAATTAGAACTTTCCCTGGAATATGGGCTTTTTATAAGGTCTGCTGCACTGTGCAGTGTGGTTTTATTACATCTCAGAGCCCAAAATTCTCCCTAGAAACACATTTGCAAGTTTATAATGAAAATTAATAAGGATGAGTAAAACTTGGAAATATGCTTTCTAGGCAACTTCTTGCACCCACAAATACCTCCTTAAGTGAATGGACTGTGAATGGGAGTATATGCCAACCAAGCCACTGGAACACCATGGAAGACAGCCTCAGGGGCCTCTGTCACAGATGCAAACAAGTGACAGATACCTCCTAGCAGCAGCTTATTGTGACAAGATGACAAAGCCTGTTCCCTACTACAGCAAAGATCACCCCGGGGCCTGAAACAATGTACAAAATGCTATGCACAGACTGGCGTGCAGCTTGGTAGTAGAGCCTTTGCCCAGCATGTATAAGACCCTGGGTATGCCGGGCAGTGCTGGCGCACGCCTTTAATCCCAGCACTCGGGAGGCAGAGGCAGGCGGATCTCTGTGAGTTCGAGGCTGGGCTGGACCGACAGCCTCCAAAACAATACAGAGAAACCCTGTCTCGTAAAAAACCAAAAAAAAAAAAAAAAAAAAAAAAGACCCTGGGTATGCTCCTCAGGACTAGGGAGAAGAAGGGGGAGGGAAAACCCAGCACTAGCTATCTATAGGAAAGTTAAGGCAGAAAATTACTTTTCCCCAGGCATGCTAACAACAGTAACAGGGTAACAACTACACAAGCCCCTGAGACAAGACAGGGTCTTACTGTGCAGCTCTGACAGTCCTAGAACTCGCTCTGTAGACCAGGCTGACTGTGAACTCACAGAGATCCGCCTGTCTCTGCCCTGCAAGTGCTGGGATTAACGGTGTGTGCCACTGTGCCTGGCTGAGACCACTTAGTATTGGGAGCAAATCAGCACTTCCGGGCTCCCATGGCAGAACACAATCATCACAGGCGTCAGGGGCGAGTTCACTTAGGAAACATCTCGTCTACCCTCTGGTTATCAAGGAGAAAGCATTTCTTCCTCATCTGCTCGCCTTTAACCCTGGCCTTTATTTTCTGGGGGACGGAGTGTAAAGAGTTACTGAGGAACAATGGGATCCATTTGCAGAAGGGACAGTTAAAATTCAGGTGCCACACACTTAGAGGGCTGGTAGGATGGAGGCGATAGGCTATCCTGGGCTAGATACTAAAACCCAACCGAGAACTCAGAATTCAACCATCAACAAAGAAGCGAACTCTAGTCTCCAGGTGTTGTGGACAGACAGGATCGCCTAAAAGCTCTCTTCAGCACTTCCTTGCTGTTTTTTTCCTTCGTTTGTTTTGAGGTAGGTCTCTCTATGTAGTCCCAATTGATTCAGTCACACTCTGTAGACCAGGCTGGCCGCAAGCTCACAGAGACCCGCCTGCCTCTGCCTTCTGCGTGCTGGGAGTAAAGTGTGCGCCACCATGCCCAGCTTGTGTTTTCACACTGCAGTCTTTACAGTCCGGGTTTGGTTATCTCAAGGGGAAACATGATGAAATACTGCCTAGTTGGGCAGACGAAGCAAGATGGCCCTGTGATCATGGGCTCTGTCAAACTGCTTGACCCAGGGACACCACCAGTATGGTTCCTGGGGCAAGAGCACTGCCAGATGCCAGCTCAGTTTTCCACAGAAAGCTGTCCTACAAGGAAAAGCCACAACACTCTGGTTTCCTTATTTCTCAACTCAGGGTCACGAGAACTTGCCACTCTCTCCCTCCCTCCCTCCCGCCTCACCTTGGGGACGTATACTCTAGAGTGTAACACAGAAGTTCCCTTTCCAGCCTTTAAGAGGCAAGGTCTGTGAAAGAATTTGGAGTCCTTACTCTCCCCATGCATGTGTGGCCGTGAGTACGCACATGCAGAAATGCAGGCATGGCTCTCTGGTGTCGCCTTTGTTCCTGTACTCAAGGACAGCTCCTGCAGCAACTGGAGGACAGTTTCCACCTGCTGTCACTCTGATTTGATTATGTGTTAAACCCAAACTGGTGTGCACAAGGCAGCTCCCCGGGATGCCGCCCGTCAACTCTTCCCGGCAGTCAGGGCCAGTCTTTGGAAAGGAGCCTTCAGTGACCCTAGAAAGGGTCTGACGGCCGATGTATGGAGGGGGCAGTGCCTGGGGGGCCTTTTCCCAAGTCAGCAGGAAGCAGGCTGATGCCCCAGACGGCTGAAAGCAGCCCCATCTTTCAGGTGGGCTGGAAAGTAGAGGTCCTACAGGCCTCTTTCCCCAAAGCTCCAAGGCCTGGCCCACTTCCAATACGGATAATTACATTCCCCTTCCTAAATACTCCCTGCAGCTTACACTGGATGCAGGATTCTTCTTTTCTGCCCTAAAACACTGCAACATTGCTATGTGGCTATTAAACAGCTGCCGTGGCCCATCCCTGAGGAGGCTGAGGGAATCGAGTGGACCATTTATAAAGCCGCTGAAGGGCCTGGGGATGAAAGTGCTCAATATCCTCCAAAGCGGCCTGTGGTGGTTAGGCTGGCGGTCAAATACCAAAGCAGATTAAGAGGTAATCCAAATGTAATCGCTGGGGGACGGTCTGCCCTTCAGCCTCGGGCCCCTGGACACGCTGTGTTCTTCTGGGGGTTGGTTTGATGTTCCGATCATTGTTACAAGGCCCTTCAGCCGTTTCTCTATGAATACATACAGCGCTCGTTGTGGGGGGTGGGAATGAATAGCCCCGAGAGGGTGGAAAAAAAGATGACACTAACATGCTTATTAACACCGACTGGAGGAACTTTGTCCCAGACAGATGCACACCTACTGGCAATTCTTCCTCTGTAAATTACTTTCTGAGCTTTTTTTCTAGCAAAAAACCTGTTTGACCAATTATCAAATTTGTGTATTAGCTAGGGAAAAAATGGAAACCATTTCTCTTACTGCTGCAAAAAACCATATCCATATTCCAGTTCATAGTATGCACAAGCCAGTTCTGGTCCTGAGATGATTTTTACAACATTTACATTAATAACCAGGCATGATGGCATGTGCTCGGTCCCAGCTACTCAGGAAACTTGAGGCCAGAGGACTATATGAGCCTCAAAAGTCTGAGGCCAGCCTAGGCAATGTATGGGAATCCTATCTCAAAAACAAACAAAAAAGCCTAATTTTTGGACAGTACTTTGCAAGGGCTGTTGGTTTGGAGGTTGGGGAGATAAAAATAAGAAATGGATCTTAGAACTTGGTTGCACACACCTTTAATCTCAGCTCTACAGAGATTTACCCAGCCTGGGCTACACAGTGAGTTCCAGGCTATGTAGGAGGAGGACCATGCCTTGAGAAAACAAGAACAAAACAAGGTGAACAGGATTTAAATGTTCTTAGCTCTAACACTATGCCACTGTACACCGAGGTTCAAACACTTCCTGGGATGAAGCCAAGCTTCCGTCTGGCTCAGATACCTCACGGCTTTGTGATTTTCAACATGGTGTTAACGTCTCTGAGCTTACTCCTTCAACTGTAAAATGGGGACAACAGAGCCTATGTCGTGGGGTTTTAATGAAGATGCTTACATGAAGTAATTCAAGTAAAGGTCCTGGAATCATGCCCAGTTAGTATGTTAATGTCATTATTAGGTAAAGCAGCCAAATGGTGAGCTACGTTACTTCTCCATTCTTGCTGCTGAACAAAAGGAAGTTTGAGGTCATGGTCTAGCCCAACCTGCTACCACCAGAATGGGATTGCAGAGCACAGAGCACTACAGAAAGGAACCTGGCCTTGTTCTTAATTGTAATATCACACGCAAGCATGGCAAAGGGACTGGGTTGTCTGTCTATTTTTATAGCCTCCACAGCTCTACCTGCTTTATTTGCTGTGTGGAGAAAAGAAGTGACACCAGGGTCTGGGCGGGAGCTGTGGCTGGGCTCAGGGTGATGGTGGTGGTTAGCTCACGTGACCTCTGCTTTTATAAGTTCTCCCCTGTTAGACATTCCAAGGCTGTCACCCCCTGGGAGCACTATAAATTACAATGCATTGTGAGGATATTACTACTGTATTGGTTTCCAGCGAATCAGTGTCATATGCTAAACACATCAAGATTTTTAATAGCGCCAGACTAAACCAATTGGGACTGGAGCCCAAGCAGCTCATAATAAGAAGGGATCAACACTTCACTGCAACCGAGCATGCGCAGGACACACATTTTAAGCCTGGAGACTGAGAGGATATGCAAACCAGTATAACCAATGTTGTCAGTTCGAGACATTTATGAGCTGTCAGGAAAAGGGAAAAGAAACTCCCTTACCAATACTACCTGTCGATCAGACCCAGGAAGAAATGAAAGTCAGGAACAAAGACAAGAAAATAACTCAGCCCATGATTCCATCATTGGTCTTAACATTTCAGATGCAACTTAATAAAGAGACCAGCTCCCATGACGGGCAGCTTTGAGCCCTGGGTCACAGGGCCAGTCACCCAACTCTGGGAAGTCAGTTAATGCCAATGCGCATTCTGGGAACAGAGAGCAGGCAAATCAAATAATCCCCAGAAATCCGAGCTGGAACTCCTATTCATGAGCCTGTTCTTGAGGAGGGGGAGCCTGTGGGCACAAAAGCAACGGTGCCGCGAAATCGCCATCCTCCCCGTTCACGCCATTCTTCAGGGTGAGGTGAGGGCCGTTTTAATGGTGCCGTCTGGGAGGCAAGGTCAGAAGCTGCCACATCCGATGCTTGCCCTTGTGTGGCTTCAGGAAGCAACAGAACAAGCAAAAGCCTTCAAGTGCAAGCCTTGCTTTTACCACCTTCAAGTGCAAGCCTTGCTTTTACCACCTTCAAGTGCAAGCCTTGCTTTTACCACCGCTCCCTCCTACCCAGCCGCCTCTGTGGTCTGTTTATCCAGTTGCTTCCTAGAACCCCACTCCTGACTGAGAGGCTCACTCACCCTCTCATTTATCTGGAGGCGGGGGATGGACACTGTTCTCAGAATGGTCTTGCCCACAAGGACCTCCAGCTCCCTACCATGCACACTGCATGCTGAGCTCCCTGCTCAAGCCTAAGGCCAGGAGCTTTCAACTGGGCCTCGATGAGAGCCAGGAGCTGCTGAGGACCCTCCTGCGCCCCACACTTACCCAGGAGCTCACTGGTCTTCTCATCATATTCTTCCGCCATTTCCTTCCCGTCTGGGAACAAATAGTGCACCATCCTCTTTCCTACACACAAAGGAAAGAGAGCGCTTTACTACAGAGCTGCCCTGGGCCTTGCCCCTGCAGACTGACCCATCTATCCCCCAAACAACAGCCTGAGAACCTGGCCAGAGCCTCCCCAGCTTCTTGCCAACCAGAGGCCACCATTGCTTATAAGATGCATCCCAGGCTCCCTTCCCTTCTCTGAACACGTTTGCTATGCGCTTCCACCACTAAAAAAGCCACGTTTCTTCTCAACTGCAGAACTTCCCTCCCTCTTCAAACCTAGTTCAAAGGACACTTCTGCTGGAAGTGTCCCTTACCTGTCACTGGCAGCTACCGTGGCAGATGAGTCACTTCCTTCCCTGTGTCACCTGTGTTTGAGTCTACCCCACAGCACAGCATTTACTCTATACCAGGATAGTGCTAAAAGCATCTGATATAAATGACATCATAGTCTTTCTCTCCCTGCTTCCTACATCCAGGGCTACAGGCGCTGAGGTGAGCTGGGTTTCCTGACTGGGCCCTTCCAGTCACACTGGCGCTCCGCCTTCATCTACACATCTCTAGGCCATGCCCAGCATAGAGCCAGGGATGCTGCCATCATGGGGCTTCCTGACACATGCTTGGTATATGGTTCTCACATCTCTCATGTGAGTCTTGGTTATTGCTTGCCTCTTCTATTGGATGGGGGAGGGGGTGTCCATGGATTCCCTGAGATCAGCCACAGTACCTGGTATGCAGAGGAACTCAAATGCTGACTGAAAGAATGAAAAACTGTGATGTGCCATCCCTTAAAAGAATAAAGAGCCCTGGGAGTCTCCAAGCCCACAAGCACTTGCTCAAGGGGAGGGCTGTATAATGTCTTCTTTTTCTTCCAGGCAGGTAAGCAGATACCAGTAGCTGCTCAGGAAGCCTGATAAAAGGGTCTTTATACCCAGGGGACATGTACCTTCCATCAACTTCAAGAGTAAGAGCCCTAAGGTGGCTTTTTCCTGTTTGACTCACTCCTCTAGGACAGTTTCTTGAGTCATTCCTAATTTGGATTTCAGGGCAACTTACCCCAAAATTTGCAAGGTCTCTTGCAACAAGGCCTCAACAATCAATCAACAATATCAACAACAATAATAATATCACCCCCCTTAACAATCTGAATGCTTCACAGGTAAGACTGCTTGTGCTGCAGGTGAAAGGGACTGAGTTTGAATCCTAGTACCCTACACAAACAGTTGGGTGTGGCTGTGCATGCCTGAACCCCAACACTGGGAGGCAGAGACTAACAGGATTGCAGTGAAAACCTGGCCTTCACACACCTGACACCCTGCTATGGCCTCCGTGTACATGCACATGGGTGTATGCCCCTGCACACTTACATGCAAATATCACACACTAATATACCATACTCCCCCAAATATGACCAAGAGCAACAAAAGCAGACTTTAGAATGTTCAAGGCAGTCTTGCTAACACCGATCAAAAGGCAGAAGCAACCCAAGTACCCATCGGCAGACAGATGAACACTTGGTGGAGAGTACACACACACAGTAGGACAGCTTTAAAATGGAGGCTGGCATTGGGCAGGTACAGTCAGTTAACGTCTCAAGCACGAGGACCTGGACTTGATCCCCATCATTCACGTACAAAGTCTGGGGCGGTGACATGTGCATATAATCCCATGATGTGACTGGGGAGTTGGAGACAGAAGGATCCTGGGGCACGCTGAACAGCCAGCCCAGCCTAATCGGCAACTCCTAGGTCCCAGTGAGAGACCCTTTCTCAGAATGGGATGGAGACCAGAAAGACGGCTGAGCTGGTGAAAGTGCTTGTCACCGACCCTGACAACCTGACTGATCCCAGTACTCATACGGTGGAGGGAAAGAACCAATTCCCACAATTTGTCCTCTGGTCTTCACATACATGCTATGGCAAGTGTACACACACACACACACACACACACACACACACACACACACACACCATCATTGTGGGCAATTGTGAGGAAGAACGACACCCAAGGTTGACCTTTGGCCTCCACACAAGCACATACAAAATAGAAAAAGGAAATTCTGCACATGTGATAACATGGATAATCTGAAAAACCTTCTGCTGTGTGAAATAACTAAATCAAATGTTATTTGATTCCACTTACACGAGGCTCTTAGATTAGTCAAATTAATTGAAACCCAAAGTAGAATGGTGACGGCTAGGGGCTGGAGAGAAGAGAGTATTGGTTTTGAGAATGAAAAGTTTGGAGATGGAGGGTGGTGACAGTTGCAAAACAAGGTGAATGTGAAATTAATGACGCCTAAGAATGGTTATGATTTAATCACAATCAGAACCAGGTCAATCATAGCGGTACACGCCCTTTATCCTAAAGCTAGGGGGACAGAGGCAGGAGGAGCTCTATGCCTTCAAGACCAGCCTGGTCTACACAGCACATTCTAGGCCAGTCAGGACTACATAGTGAGACCCCGTCTCAAAATACAAACAAGAAGACCACTGTCCTGTGAAGTAATGTCCAAAATCTGCACACTGTGAGATCACAGCATGCCCCAACTTATCTTCATTTTCTACCTCTCACAGCCTTTTGCAACAAGTGACTCATTTACTGTCTCCAGGCACCTGGCAATGCAGGCAGTGCCTGAATGGCTCAGTGGTGACTGTTTTCCTCACACCTAACCAGCTGCACACTCCCACACTCCCTTGCCTCTGTGTGACCCACTCTTCTGCATATGGCCACTCTTCATTGTACTTATCTAACCCTGCTAAGGGTGCTCCAGGGATTGGAAATACGGCCTCTTCTCTTTGGTGATTATCCAAAGAGAAAATTATTGTCACCTCCATGCTTTCTTAGCATTTCACACAGTATCTCAGCCCTCCCCCCACTCCCCCAGGGTCTCCTGCCTTAGCCCCCCCACCCCCACCCCAGTGCAGAGATGACCGACCCCTGTTGGCTCCTGCTAAGATCCCAACCTCTATTTAACACAAGCTACTATTTACTTACATGCCTTTTTCTTCCTCATTTTGTGAACTCCTAGGAGACCACAGGCCATAGGTCTTTGTTTGTGTGTTTGTTTTTCTATCTGCTCTAACACAGAATTTGGCACGCAGTAAAGGTCTCCCCAAGCGCTGCAGTTAGGAACAAATGAAACCTGTTTTTAATTTCCATAAACTTCAGGCTTCTTTGACTGGTAGCTACCTGTGGATATAAGTCCCCAGCTATTAAGCTTTAAAGGGAGTTCAGACCTAACTCTGCTAAGTAGTGCAGGAAAGACCTCTGAAGTCGAGGGACTTTGGTCAATTGTAGGATGGGGAAAGCTGACATCTCAAATTCCTGTTCCTTGTCATTTAGACTTTGGTCCTTTTTCTGTCTCCCCTAACAATCAGAGAACGTTGAGAAATCCACTCTAAACAAAACACAGTTGGAAAGGGCCTCTGAAATAACACTGGCAGCCCACCCGCTTCATTTATAGTTGAAGGAAATGGGGTTCTAACAAATTAATAGGTGTATCAACGGCAGAGTTGATCTTAAAACCCTGGTGTCCCTCCATTCTACGCCACCAGGCTGCCATCATCAACAGGACTCCCAAACTGAAGTGCATGGAGCCCACATCATGATGCAGTTATATCTGACTATCTGCAAAACGTTGCGCTGGTCTAAAACCTTCCTGGATTTCAGTAAAACAAGCAAACAAACAAATAAATAAAATGGGGTGGGAAATTTGCCTCTTGGTATAGCCTTGAGGAACGATGATGAGTGTAAAATGAATTATTGGGAGTCACCAACAAAACTCTGAGCGGGGCGGGATGGTGTAAGGAAAACAGAGGTGGGTGACCAGAGACTTGGGTTCCACTCCAGCCTTCTCCCTGTGCCTCAGTTTTCTCCTCTGCAAAAGCAGGAAGCTAGCGTCGCTGAGGGCTGCGACAATTCCAGCTCTGCCCACCCAGGCTGAGGCCCGCCCTGGAGGAGCCGGCGCGTAGAGCCCGCCCTGGGGGAGAGGACGAGAGGGCTCGAGTTACCATCCTGCAGCAGCGCCGTCTTCTCGGCAGCCCGCAAACTCTCCAGCCAGCTAGTCACCGCCATCTTCCTTCCGCCCAGCAACGCGCCCGGCCACTTCCATGGCAACTGCTGGGCCGAGGGTCACTTCCGGATGCCCCGGAAGGTATTCTGGGAACTTACTTTTCAATAGCTCCCCTCCCCCCCCCCATTCGTTTTCATTGGCTCCCATGGTGAGTGTATTTCTCTTCGAGGGAGATTCTGGCCTGGCGTGGACCGGCCCCGGGGCTCGGTCGGATGGGGAGGCTCCTAGGGCCTTTAGGGTTCCAGCACCAGCTCTCTTCTGCCCCAGCTGGGAGCCCCTGGTTCGCGCCAGCTGCAGTGCATGTGGCACCCCAGCTGTGAGGGCGCCTTACACCTGCTGCAGCTGCACCCCACTTCCCTGCAGCTCAGCTACGGGGCTCACCCCCCCCCCCGTCCCCCCATGAGGCTGCGACAGGGGCAGGTGCACGGCGTGTCTGCAACTTTCCCTGACGTTTTCCTCCGCAAATGACGGGAGGTTCGTGCGCACTGTACGTGTTCTTCAGACTCCTTTTCTGGGGAGGTGAAGACTTTACTAAAGATGAGGTCCTGCTTCCTAGCCCGTTATCATTTTGGAAACGGCTCTTGGAAGCGGAAGCAGAGGCCAACTCTGCGCTAGATCTGCAGTGTTGTTTCCTTTGAGTCAAAAGCCACCACCACCCCTGACTTCCATAGTCCCAGCCTTTCCCTGACTTCCCCCCAATACTCTTAACGCTGAAAAGCTGGTGTGTTTTACTGAGGTTTCTGAGACCTCGGAGAAGGGGCTTCTTGCTCCCAGAGCCTGCCTCTGTGGGCCAAATGGGTCTAGGGTGGTCCTCAGTCTTGGATTTCTGCATGACATCTATCCTTAAACGCAAAGGCAAGGACCCAGGCATCCAGGCATCTAGGCAATGGACCCCCAGGGCATCTGGAAGGCATTTCCCAAGCGAAAGAAAATTCGTGCAGATCCACCATCAAAAGCACTTGCAAAGATTCCCAAACGGGAGGCGGGAGAAGCTGGAGGTAAGCTGGCCACCCTCAGAACTTATGCACATCACCCCTCAGCCTCCGTTGTTTTCATCAGGAGTCAGATAAGGGAAGTGTCCTTACCTGTGGAGGGGCCAGGGCTCTTTCTACCTGTCTTGCTGTCGCTTTGGTGTCTGTTCCTTTCTCTTGTTGAGAGTCTCATTGTAACTTTGATCTTGCCTTATAGCTGAGAATGACCTTAAGCTCCCAATTCTCCTGTCTCAACCTCCCAGTGCTGGGCTTACAGCTACACAGTGTGCTTTCTCCTTGTGTGTTTGTTCTTCGAGACAGGGTGTCTCTGTGTAGCCCTGGCTGTCCTGGAACTTACTCTGTAGACCAGGCTGGCCTTGAACTCGGAGATCCGCCTGCCTCTGCCTCCCGAGTGCTGGGATTAAAGGCGTGCGCCCCCACAGCTGTACTTTGTCTTTCTAGGCTATTTGCTGTGTTATCAAGACCTCAGTGAAAAATGTTTCCTGATTCCTCAGGAAGTGGCCCTTAGAATTCTTTGTTGTCCTATAGGCAGTTCCAGGAGCAAACAAAACCCCTGAGTCCCCAGGCTTGTTCTAAATTGTTTTGCCACCAAAATTGTTAAATAGATGGCAGAGATTTTAAGGGGTTGGGGTCAAGTCCTCTAGACTGAGGGCAAGGAACTTGTAATGGCAAGAAATGTGTGTTTTATGGGCCTGGAGAGATGGCTCAGTGGTTAAGAGCACTGACTGTTCTTCCAGACATCCGGAGTTCAATTCCCAGCAACCACTTGGTGGTTTACAACCACCTTGAATGACATCTGGTGCCCTCCACTGGCCTGCAGGCAGAAGAAGACTGTATACATAATAAATAAAATATTAAAAAAAGAGAAATGTGTGCTTTGCTGGAAAAAAATAGGTGAATGATTTTTTTAAATGTGTTAAAAGCAAGGCTACATTTATTTAGCCACAAATACTAATAGAAGATCTCTGATATATCAGGCACTGCTCTAGTTTGCACCAAGAACAGGGTTTGCTGTGCTTGTGGTAGAATTCTTTGAAGGCATTTTAATCTCTGGGTGGCAGGAAAACTATTACTTTGAAGGGAGGTGATTTCAAACAGTTCATTGGGACTATATCTAAAAGTTTTCCAGCCCAGTGACATACATACATCTGTAATCCCAGCGCTTGAAGGTAGAGGCGGGAGAATCAGGAGTTCAAGGTTATCTTCTGGTACATAATGAGTTTGAGGCCAGCCTGGGCTACATGAGACCCTGTCTTAAATAGTAGTAATGGTAATAAAATAATAATAAAAAGTGTTATGGTAATAGGCATTTGGATATCCTCTCTACAGAATGGCTGAGTTCCCTGAGGGCTCACATTATGCCCACTGGCATTGGACGAGCCCGGGCGGAGCTCTTTGAGAAGCAGATTATCCATCATGGTGGCCAGATATGCTCTGCCCAGGCCCCAGGAGTCACGCACATTGTGGTGGATGAAAATATGGACTGTGAGCGGGCTCTCCGGCTCCTCAGACTGCCCCAGCTTCCTCCCAGTGCTCAACTGGTGAAGTCAGCCTGGCTGAGCTCGTGCCTGCAGGAGGGAAGGCTCATGGACACAGCTGGATTCCGTCTCTCCATCCCCAAGAGGTGGGCTGGCCCTGGCCTTTCTCACGGGCCTGCTGGTACTGTCTTTAGTGTCCATCCTGAGTTATTCAAAAAACAACTCCTACTTTAAAAATCACACACACTTGGAAACCGAGATTTCAGTGGAGGAAAGGATTGGGAACGGAGACAGGTGAAACTTTTGGTGCCCTAACTGCCTGTGAACTCCCCTACCCTCTAGTTCCTTGGACCAACCACAGCCCAGCAAGGCAGATGGAGGCACCCAGGAGGCTGTATCCAGGACAACCCTCTCTCATCCCCCGCCTCACCCCAGAGCTGCATCTCCTCCCCCAAAGGCAGAAAAGGCACCAAGAAGTCCAGCCCAGGTGAGAAGTTCCCTGCTCAGGGCCCTGACCGCAGAAGGGGAAAGGCTGGTGCTTGTGGGGAGTTCAGGGTCGGGCTGTGCGTCTGCCCCTCACTGGTGCACCCGCCAAGCCGTGTCTGCCATGCGGCACTGGCCCCACACTGAAGTTCGGCACAAGCCGGCACACTAGTTGCAGCCTCATCCTTGAGTGGAAGTAGGAGACGCCTGCCCACCAAACACGGCCCTCACTTTTGAAGAGGACGCAGACTCATTGTTTCTCCTATTTCCAGCTCGGCTCCGATGACGAAACCAGTGATGAGGAAGGGCCCCAGGTTAGCTCAGCAGATCTGGAAGCCTTGGTCAGTGGGCACTACCCCACTCCTCCTGAGGAAGATGGTGGGCCTGACCCAGCCCCAGAAGCCCTGGAGAAGTGGGTCTGTGCACAGCCCTCAAGCCAGAAGGCAACTAATTACAACCAGCATATCACAGAGAAGCTAGAAGTACTGGCTAAAGCCTACAGTGTCCAGGGAGACAAGTGGAGGGCCCTGGGCTATGCCAAGGCCATCAATGCCCTCAAGAGCTTCCACAAGCCTATCAGCTCCTACCAGGTACTTGGAGGTTGGGGAAGAGGTCTCCTCTTTATTAGCTAGTGGTTAATGGCAATAGACATTGAATCTAGTGGTTAAGATTTTATAACAGCTGGGATTTGCACAGAGACACACTGATAAAATTTTTTAAAAAGTAAGAGGTAGTTGAAAACAGGCCAGCAAAATTGTTAGGACTGGGAAATGAGTACCTAGGGGTTTATTACACTGTTCCCTCTATTTCCAAGTGTTTTTATATAATAAGTTTAGCCAGGTGGTGGTGGTGGTGGTGGTGGTGGTGGTGGTGGTGGTGGTGGTGGTGCACACCTTTAATCCCACCATTCGGGAGGCTAAGGCAGGCGGATCTCTGAATACAGAGTAAGCTCCAAGACAGTCAGAGCTACAAAGTGAAACCCTGTCTGGAAAAATAAAAAAAAAAGAAGTTTAAAGTCCATTTGTTATGGACTCTATAGACAAGTTACTCTAATCACCTGGAAGAAATTAAACACAGTAGCCCATTCATGATGTTTTTGTAAGGTTGAAAGGTGATCATTGTAGCACAGCAGGGTGTACGGTAAACCCCCAGTCTGTGTGTTACAGCAGCCCCCCAGTCAGTGTTCCGGCCCCGACTGGCCTGGAACTCGGAGATCTGCCTGCGTGCACCTCTGCCTCCAGGAGTTCTGGGGGTGAAGGCATGCACTACCACAGCTGGCCATTTCTCTACTTCTTATTGCTGGTCCCTGGAAACCAAAGGACAGTCCTGTATGGTTGCTGGGCTGGCTTTTGGGCAGATATTCTGCTGAAGGAGCCAGACCCCCTTCCACTGGCTCTTCCCCTCTAACTTCTTACTCCCCCCGTGCCACTCCCTCCCAGGAGGCCTGCAGCATCCCAGGGATTGGCAAGCGGATGGCGGAGAAGATTGTGGAGATCCTAGAGAGCGGGCATCTGCGGAAGCTAGACTACATCAGTGACAGTGTGCCTGTCTTGGAGCTCTTCTCCAACATCTGGGGAGCTGGGACTAAGACTGCCCAGATGTGGTATCATCAGGTCTCACCCTGCCCATTTGGCCACACCCTTCCTCTTCACCTGCAGGGCCAGGGTCCTTGGGTTTTCCCACCTTGTGTTCTCATGGGAACGAATCCAACTACAGGGGGACCACTTTTCAAGGACACCAGCGTTCGCATGGGTCCCTCTCCTGTCCTTGAAGTGTGGACAGAGCAATAACTACATTACTCTGTTGCACAGACCAGCAAGGGGACTTTCTGCTTGTTAGTTTTTTGTTGAGACAGTGTCTCACTATATGGCCTTGGCTAGCCTAGAACTTGCCATGTAGACCAGACTGGCCTTGAGCTCCCAGAGACACACCTGCCTCTGGCAAGGGACTTCCTAAGGAGCCCAGGCTTTGGGCTCCATGTCTAAAACAGTGACTCCCAAATCTGGCCATGCCAAGAATGATCTTGGAAGCTGATAACAGGGAAGCCCAGAGTCATTTTAGACCAAGGAATCAGGGACCAGAATCCCCAGATTATGGTGTGTCCCCCTGAGGCTGGAAATGGTCCGTCTTGCCTTCTGTCTTCCATGGTAGCTGCTGTGACAGAGCCACCCGACATCTGGTCCATACAAACACTTCATGAGTCCTGGGTCCTCATAGTCTCCTCTCTGGCTGTTTTTTTCCAGGGTTTCCGGAACCTAGAAGACATCCGAAACCTGGGTTCACTGACCACTCAGCAGGCCATTGGCTTGAAGCACTATGATGACTTCCTGGAGCGCATGCCCAGGGAGGAGGCCGCAGACATCGAACAGACAGTAAGCATGGTTCCTAGAACACTAAGGCTTGACGTCAGGAGCTCCTGAACTCCTAGCTGGGCAGCCCTACAGGGAGAAGAAGTCAAGGGGTTGCCAGAGATGACAAAGAGAAGATTGTGACTGGCACCATAGGCCCAGAGGGCATCAGGAGCGGGAAGTCACTGCAACATGAGCCCTGTGGTGAGGGCTAGAGAGAATGAGCACTGGGCCTGTGCGAGGGGGGGGAGCGGACAGTCCCAGGACTGGGATGTGCAGTTTGAACAGACCAGATTAGGGGTCAGGGCAGAGGTGGTGATTCATTGTCTTTGAGAACTTGATGGAAACTACGGGGCCAGGAGTGGTGGCTCACACCTTTAATCCCAGCACCCTGGAGGCCGAGGCAGGTGGATCTGTGAGTTCGAGGCCAGCCTAGTCTACAAACTGAGTCCCAGGACCGCCAAGGCTACACAGAGAAACCCTGCTTTAAAAAAAAAAAAAAAGAAGGCAAAAAAAAGGGAACTCTGGACTTCTCCCCTCGGCTTGCACAAATGGCCCTGGGGTCTGTGTCTCTTTGCTCAGGATTGGTTGGGTTCAAATGAAAACTCAGGGTTAGGGGTGGGCTCAAGAGAGCATGGCCAGCCAGGACTTAGGTAAGGGTAAGTCCTGCTAGGGATTTCTCCCAGGTGTCTGTTCTCTTTCCTGTTAATATTTGTAATTGTCAAGGCTGGACTGTGGTCCAGAGGTAGAGTGTTTGCTGAGTATGCCCAAGACCCTGCTTCCATCCCCAGCACCACAGAAGGAAAACAAGAGTTTTACTTGGCCAGGTTAAAGGTTTGGTTTATGTAAGTTTGTATATAGCATTGAGTCAAGAGAGGCAGAGAATCCTCGGCTGCCTGAGTTGTTTGTTCAGCTGGTGTGGGCGACGGTTCTTTCCCTTTGGCCTGGGGTCCTGATGAGTGATAGGTGACACTACTGCACTGATGCTGGATGGATAGACAGGCCCTATTGTACACCCATCACCGGGCTGTGCGGGCCGCTAATGATGACACATCACCCAGCTACGGTGTCCAGGCAGAGAACGCCCCGGTCAGCCACCAGCCGCAGCCCATGGGAGCCGGGCTTTCCACCCGAAGGACCCCAGCTGGAGGGAAGGTTGATGGGATGACTCTTCCAGGCCGCCTCTTCCCACTCTCCAGGGAGGCCTAAGAAGGGATTGGAGGGATTAGCAGAGCTGCTTGCCAGGTCAGGGGAATTGAGGTGTCCTGGCTGTGGGTATCCAGGAAGCTCAGTCCTGCAGTGGGGGTGGGATCATCTACATATAAAAGGCCTCCGCAGTGTTTGCTGGAGGCTAATGGGTTTATTCCTCCTCAATTAGGCCCCTCAGACCTTCCACAGCCAGACCAGTCTCACCCCTCCTAGAAGGTGCAGTAGTATTTCTTGCTCCAGCTTCCCAGCCAGATTGGAATGCCAGCTACCTGCTCAAGCCTTAAGCCCTAACCGTCCCCGCCCCCCACTGCCATCAGGTCCAAATCCATAGGCAGCATGAGCTGCAGGACGTGGTCTTTTATTATCAGCGGAGTTTCTCAGGCCTGGCCACTGGGTGTGGGTTGGGGCCAGAACCCAAAGAGTGACTCTCTGGTCTTACACAGAGCCCCTGTGCCGAGGCAGAACCAGAGTCTTCAGCCTCTCCAGGCTTGTCTCTCTGGGGCCCCAGGGGCCTCCCCTCAGTTTAACATAAAGCTTGGCATAGACCTGGGACATGGTACAAAGGTCTTGCGCTGTCATGGGAGTGGTCTTCATCCCCACCCCCAACTCTTCCCCAGGTCCGGAAATCAGCCCAGGCCTTCAATCCTGGACTGCTGTGTGTGGCCTGTGGCTCCTACCGAAGGGGGAAGACGACCTGCGGGGACGTGGATGTGCTCATCACTCACCCAGACGGCCGGTCCCACCAAGGCATCTTCAGCCGCCTCCTTGACAGCCTTCGGCAGCAAGGTATCCACTCTTGTCTTTGGGTGAGCAGGCTGGAAGGGGGCAGCCATGTGTGAATTGTCACCTCTACATTCTTAAATTTGAGGCATGCTATGTGGGAAGGGCTTTGCAAGAATCCCACCTCTCTTGAGGCCAAAGACACTGTAGAAACAGCGCCCAACACCCTACAGATGGACGTTCTCACCCGGCGATATGTCCACGTTCCATAGATGAGGAATTGGGTCCAGAGGGGCAGGGTCACTCAACATGGAAATGAGTAAGCTGAGAATGGAGGATGCAGGAGTTAGGGCATCTTGGGAGGGTCCAGATAGGACCTGGCCTCTACTAGACATCCCTTGTATCGGGCCAGGGTTCCTCACGGATGACTTGGTGAGCCACGAGGAGAATGGCCAGCAGCAGAAGTACTTGGGTGTGTGCCGGCTTCCGGGGCCCGGGCAGCGGCACCGGCGACTGGACATTATCGTCGTGCCCTACAGTGAGTTTGCCTGTGCCCTGCTGTACTTCACCGGCTCTGCCCACTTCAACCGGTCCATGCGTGCTCTGGCCAAGACCAAGGGCATGAGCCTGTCGGAGCATGCCCTCAGCGAGGCGGTGGTCCGCAACAGCCACGGTGTCAAGGTGGGGCCTGGCCGAGCGCTGCCCACCCCCACAGAGAAGGACGTCTTCAGGCTCTTAGGCCTGCCCTACCGAGAGCCGGCTGAGCGGGACTGGTGACCCAGGGCTTGGGCAAGGGAAGCCATGCTGGGTGAGCCGTCTCGTCTAGACACCCACCACCGCTCCGGCTTCGCCTAGCTTAGCCCTGCTCCTTCAGTCACCCGCTGTCTTTAGTGAGCCGAGCTGGGGGCTTTGGGCCTGAGGGAAAGAGCCAGCCTGACAGTGAGAGTCTGCAAGCCCCCTCCTCTGCAGTCTCCTCTACCTCACCACTGCTCCTAGTAACGCTTAAGCAGAACGGGTGGCTGGGTTCAAGCCAGTTTCCTGTGCTGAGGGCCTAGGCTTCCCTTTCAGATCATGATGCTGGGAATTGGGGAGAGGCTGGGGGGTGGGGTGGAGCAGCTGTGGGTTTAGCATCTTTCTAGACCCTTCACAGTAGGAGGAAGCCATGCGGACTCCCTCACCCACGCACTTCCTGTGCAGCTGGAGCTGCTGGGGATGCCCTGCACTCTGTGAGGACTGCTCCTGAAGGCCCTGGGGCCTACTAAAGACTTTTGACATTCATCCTGCCTGGCGTCTGTGAGCTACAGTTCCCTCCTGTTGTCCTCCTCCCCAGCAGAACAAAGATGGGAGCTTAACATCAGAAACCCACATTACTGCCTGCTAGTCAGGCCTGGCTGAGTCATCCTGAACCCAAATGGGGTCTAGGGTAGATGGTAAGGTGGAGAATCAGAGTTAGACACAAGGGGCCCCTCTCTGTCCACCCTTCGCAGCTCCTGTGGCCCTCAGATGCGACTATTGTGGGATATGACCGTGCTTATAGGAAACAATAAGGAACATGATCTGTACACCATGGATGGGAATGGGGAGATCTGGGGTTACCTGGAAGAGGAGAGGGCAGAATGGCAAGGAAATGGCCAGCCTGAGGGGTCAGCACTCTGTGTAAGGACAGTTATGGACCAGCTTTGGAGAGGATGCTGGGATTCAGGAGAGCCAGCTACAGAGTTTGATGGGGTAGGGGAGTGAGTTGCAGATACAGTGGGGATTCTGACTCCCCCCTCTCTCTGTCTCTCTCTGTCTGCAGCTGGGCTTTGCAGGACAGGAGAATGGGGAGGGAAACGGAAGGAAGGGGAGGGGTCTGGAAGGAGGTTTAAAAGTCAGAAGGCTTCCTGGACAGACCCTGTGACCCCATTGGGAGATTTTTGAGGTGGAACATGAGGCAAGCTTAAGTCCAGAAGTTCCAGCTTTAGTCTGTCAAGTGTGAGAGGTGTGTGTGTGTGTGTGTGTGTGTGTGGTGTGTGAGTATTGTGTGGTGTGTATGTGAGGGTGTATATGTGTGTGGTATGTGTGTGTGGTGTGCATGTGTGTGTGTGTGTGTGTGTGTGTTTGTTGTAGAATCCCAGAGTTGGCTTTTGCCTCCTTGGTCTCAGTCCTGGTGTCTATCTGGGCAGTGGCACATTTTTATAATTCCAGATACTCAGAAGACTGAGGCAGGAAAATCATAAGTTCTAGGCCAACCTGGGAAGTTCAAGGCATCACAAAGAGAACAAAACAGACCTCTAGCTCAAGCCTAGACCCCAGACACCAAAGCAGAGGGCTTGGCCTGCATGAGTCCTTCTGGGGAAGAGAGGGAATCCACTGCACAGCCCCCACCAAACTGTGAAGTAGACACATCCAAGGACCCAAAGCCCCTGTGAGGCCCAGTCTTTCTGCAGACTTCCCTTTCCACATAGAGTGACTCTTACAGGAGCGTGGGCCCCATGTCCTACACAGGGCGTTTCCAGAAACATTGGGAGAAGAGAGCTGACTACTTGGGAGTTCAGGGGTTCACTCTGTTCCTCACCTCAGCCCCTTCACTTGGGAGTTCAGGGGTTCACTCTGTTCCTCACCTCAGCCCCTTCACTTGGGAGTTCAGGGGTTCACTCTGTTCCTCACCTCAGCCCCTTCACTTGGGAGTTCAGGGGTTCACTCTGTTCCTCACCTCAGCCCCTTCACCTGCCTTAACGCTCTTGCCCCAGTAGACTCTGAATCCACCATGCCTCAGACAAGCTCTTGTGTCACCTGACCAGGGCAGCAGAAAGCCCTGTGCTGGAGAGAAAATGCCCATACCCTCCAGGGACCCTGGACACTGGTGTCCTGACTACAGTGTGACTTGAGGCAGGAGGCCACAGAGGCTGAGGCCAGTGTTCTGAGTAGGAGCCGGGGTACAGCTTGAGTCCTGCTCATCAGGGAGCGTGATGTTAGGGTTCCCCAACTTCAGAGAGCCAAAATCCGCCTCCAGGCATCCCTGCCTTCACCTTGCCATAAAGGGAGACTGAATTTCAGAGCCCTGGTGGAAACTGGGGTCCTGTCTAGTAGCTGAGCACCCCACAACCCTCTTGATCCCCGGGAAGAGGGAAGGAGCTTTACAAACCTGCCTTCAGCTCCAGCTCAGTCTCTTCGGGAACCAGGGCTGTCCCTGGTAGGGCCACGTGAGGTAGGGGCATAATGGCCAGAGAGTATGTCATGTCCCATGACTATGACGCTGTGCCTGGCTGGAGACTGAGGATGGGGGCTCTCATCCTCAGTGGTGGAGAACCTGCCCAGTCCCTCCATGACAGCAAATGTACCTAAGGCTGAGCATGTGTGGTGCAGTGACTCCTAGTGGGTGGCCCAGGAGCCTAGGAAGTAGAGAGCCTTTCCTGGCGGTACCCAGAGAGAAGGGTGCCAGTAGGAGAAAGGCCAGGCAGGTACAGTGCTTCTGGATTCCACTCCAGAGCCTCCAGAAGGGATGCGGCCTGCCAGCAGTTCTCAGCCTAGGGAAGTTCATCTTGGATTTTGAATCATAGGGTGACAGACAACTTTGTGGGTTGGTTTTTTTGTTTGTTTTGTTTTGAGACAGGGTTTCTCTGTGTAGCCCTAGCTGTCCTGGAACTTGCTTTGTAGACCAGACTGGCTTTGAACTCAGAGATCCACCTGCCCCTGCCTCCCGAGTGCTGGGATTAAAGGCGTGCGCCACTATGCCAAGTTTGACTTGGTGTTCTTTTAAGCCTCCAAGTCTACCATTTTCCTCCTACAACAGAGCGCCAGTACTGTGTCTGTCTTGGCCTCTCACTGTCCTGAGTGGGTGAGTGGACGCTGCCACATGTCAGGAGACCTGTGACTTGCCCCTATGGGAAGAGGAGGGTCAAGTTGACTGTAAGCCTCCGTTCTCTTTTTAGCCATTATGGGCCTCTGTTCATTTCAGCTGCCCTGTGACACTTTGTGCCCATGACACAAATCCTCTTAGGGTGCCTATGACCCAGCCCTGCCAGACAGTAACCTTGTGTTTACGTGGGGCCTGGGGTGACAACATGGGTCATGGCCATGACCTTGCTGTGAACCAAACTTGTATCTGCAGTTCTGGCTGCCGAAGTAGCACAGGAACAGGCAGAGGCAGGCATCACGTCTGCAATGGGCGCTGCAGGGTAGGCAGACGGTTGTGCCCTGCTTCGCCTGAGCCATGGATTCCTTCCCCTTTAACACATGAGACCTAAGGGGCAAACTTGAACACTGGGCCTTCTTCTCCTCTCCACTCCCAGCAGGGGAGGGACACATTCCTGTTCCCTGAGAGCGAGCTGTGGTTCCAGTCTACAGAGAGATTGCAGTGGAGCGGGCTCCAGTCTGCCCTTCAGTCAGCCAGTTTCCAAGAATCTCTGAGTCACTGGGGGGGTGGGGGCGCTCTCCTACCTGAGACCCCAAGAAAAACTGGTTTCTGACTCAGGGGTCTCAGCCCTGCTCCCCTGTGGAAGACATGGCTGCCTACTTGGGAGAGCATCCCTGAAGAAGGCCCTGGGCCTCAAGACAAGAAGAGGGGTTGATGGGCTGCTGGGTGGACCCTAAGAAAGCCACCAGAAGATGAACTGAATCCTCTGTGGAACCTGCTGGACCCAGGCCTGGCTCCGACTGAACAAGCCTGTGGCCTGGCTGTGCCTGTACTTGCCTCTTCTGGGAGCTTCAGCTCATACATACCCTGCGTATGTGCTGGAGTTGGGTCAGCTGTGTGTGGCTGCCTGTTTGTCTGCCACACGTTTCTGGACCCTGTGCCTGAGGGCTGCGTGTTCACACCTTTGAATACCAGCGTCTCCAGCCTCTGGGTACAGGCCCCCATGTCACCAAGGGCTCAAGTAGGTGCGTGGGCCGGAAGGGGTCCCTGGTGGTGCTGGTCAGGGAGCAGGAAGATAGTAGAGTCCTGGCTGGGTGTGGAGCTCTGGGTCCTTGTGTCCATGGAGGAGGCCGCAGGGCGGACCGCTTGCGTCAGCCTTGAGCGGCCATCAATAGCGCGCGCTTAATTAATTTGATGGGAACAGCAGGGACCGCCGTTTGCATTTAGTGAAGTTCCAGGAACTTCCAACCCCATCTTCATAATTGGCCTCATAAATTGTAAGAAAGAGAGAGATCAGCAAAGCGGGAGGAAGGAGGGGCCGCCCGTCCGTCCTTATTTAATTTTATTGCTGAAATTCATCTTTTTAGCCTCCTCCGCCTGAATCGGCTCTCCCTGCCGGATTTGCCTAATCATGATAAATTAATATTCATTTCCCCACCTCTTACCCAGCTCCCGCGCTTGGATAGAGCCGGGAGGTCTCCTTCCAGCCCCTCTGCCTTGGTGGGAGATGACCCCCAAAGTGGAGCTTGTGTGCTGAGGTGAGGTTGGTCCTTGGGGCGAGCAGGAGGGCGCCTGGGAGAAAGAAGGGGCTGTGTTTCTTTGGGAGGCAAACTCTGAGCTCAGAGGGCTCGGCGGCTGCGGTTAACAACCGTGCCCAGCTAGGACCGGGCTAGAAGGACAAGGAGAACCCAAGAAGGCTGAGCCTGACAGGGAACCCTGGGGAGGGGGCCGGAAGGAAGCGGGATAGGATTGGGAAGGGAGGCTGGAACAAAGAGTTGGTCACTGATCGGCAGTGTCTCACTCCACTCCCTCAGCTAGTTAGGAGCCGCCTCGCCAGGATGAAGCATGGTGCTCTGAGGGTTTCCCTGGGCGCCATTGGTTTCTGACCACCCTTTCTCAGCGCATCTAGAGGTGGCTGGCCCCAGCGTGTGACACCTGTGCTGTTCTGCTTGGCTGTGGCAGCTCCTACTTCAGTCAGTGCTTGGGTGGAGGTTGGGTGGAGTGCTGCTGGCCCCGTACACAGCCCTGCACCTCCCTCTGTGGCGGGGCTCCAGTCTAAAGGGTCACAGTTCCCTCGTCTGCTTGCACGTGATTCTGTGACACATGGGTCTTTCCATTTCATCCAGCCTTTGGCCTCCTTTACAAGGGCGGAACCTGAAGACCACACACGAACAATGATTGGTCCGATGCCCCACGTAGATCAGGAGGGATGGAACTAGGAGGGGCGCCCCCCCACCTGAGAGGCTGACAGTGGGCAGAACAGTCTGCTGTAGGGTGTGAGCTCTGTGGATGTGTTTTATTAGGTGACAAAGGGGACATTATCTCGTCACACAATCCCTTTAAAAGCAGAGCCGTCTGTGGTAGCAGGATGGTGGAAGAGTTCTGAAGACCCGGGGAGGGGCAGTGCCTACTGATGCTCGGCTGGAAAGCAGGTAACCACCAGCCGTAACAATGAGCACACAAGGACCTTCTCTTTAGAGCCCCACAGGGACCCCAGGCTATCCAGTGCCTTCATGCAGCCTGCGGGGCCCTAGGCAACAAGCTCAGCTGACCTGACCCGGGTCTGGCCCTGCACCCATGTCCGCTGTTTGGGGGTGCTAAGTGTGTAACAGTGTACCGCAGCAGTGGAGGGGTGCACAAAGCCAAGGAGAGGAGTCTCAGGGCGCTTCTGCTGTGGGCCAGAGTCGGAACTGGGGGGAGTTTGGAGGCTCTGCTATACCACTCCCCTCTCCCAGACTCCCCAAGGCAGTAATTGCTCCCAGTTTCCAGACTCCTCCGCCTCCTCTGTTGCTTTTCGTGGGACCGAATCCTTGAAGTATTCAGTGTGTGACCTGTGTGCGTGTGGAGCCTGGAGCCTGGGTTATGATTCATTGTGGATACTAGCCAAGAGATGGGGCTGGGCAGTCAGCTCCGCAGAAGCTCCCAGCACATGGGCATCCAGTCAGCTCCGCAGAAGCTCCCAGCACATGGGCATCCAGTCAGCTCCGCAGAAGCTCCCAGCACATGGGCATCCAGTCAGCTCCGCAGAAGCTCCCAGCACATGGGCATCCAGCTCTAAAACCATTCATTCACAAGACGTGGTTAGATTCTGGGAAAAGAGACCTTTGAGCCCCATAGGATGTGTTAGAAGGCTGGGAAGACCAATTACCACTGTGCAAATTATGGGAGGAGGCTTGGGGAAGGGCCTGAGTCTCCTGTATCATGCATGTGGTTTAATCGAGCAGTTTTGTCAAGCCCTACTTAGCCCAACCCTACATGAGATTGTGTAGTCTCCAGGTGGATTCGTAGCTCCATTTTATAGATAAAAACCTGAGTCATGGGATGGAAAGATAGTTCAAGGGTCAAGAGCATGTTCTGCTCCTTAGGTCCCTGGGCCTAAGTTCAATTCCCAGCACCCACACTGGGCAGCTCACAATTGTCTGGAATTCTGGGTCCAAGTGATCCAATGCCTCAGACCTCCTCAGGCACCGACACTCAAGTTCTCAAGTGCATACACATACACACACAAACACACATACACAGACATACACACACACACACACACAGAGAATTCAAAAAATAAAATAAATCTATTAAGAAAAAAAAGAACCCTACTCTCAGAGAGGAAACTTTCCTTGTCCTAACTCGCACAGCACACGAGGGTCAGACATGGGCGTCCCACAGATCTCTGTGACTAAGTTCTCGGTTCCATTCTGCACAGATCTAAGTGGGCCCTCTGTCTCAGCCCTTCCCTGCTTCCCTCAGCCTCTGCAGAGAGAGTCCATGGTGCCGACAGCCCTGAGACCAGGATTCAGTTCCATTTTGAGACAGTGTTCAGCAGTGTGTGAACTCAAGAGTCTCCAGACTCAGCCTCCTGAGTGTGGGGTACAGGCTACCCACAAGCCTGGTTCAAACCTGGTTTTTGGGTCATTGGTTTTCGGCTGAGCGGGGAAGCCCAGTTGTCTCCACCATCACGAGGGGTTAGGGAGGAGGCAGCACCAGCTCTGGGCCCTGCCGGGGAATAGCTCATCTGGCAGGTACCAGTTCCTCCCTCCGTCCCATACATGCCTGCTCTGTCTGGCTTGGACTCGGTGACAGGGCCCCCGGAGTTCTAGCCTGAGACACTCTGTCCCCCAGCAACTTGTGGCTTCTAAGGCATTCTGTCCCTTGACCTTGATTCAGCACTGTGGGTTGTACTTTTAGTTCAGTTTGATTGGGAAATCTAAATATGCTCAGGTCACTCTCCCTGCCCGACAGTCAAACACCAAACTGGGAAGGAATCAGCCCTGGCCTGTTCCCCTTCTCAAGCTGGGTCTCTCAGGGGTTGGCTCCAGAAAGAAAATGAAGGTCCTACCTTCTTAGGAGCTCTCTGGTCCTTCCCACCCAAAGACCTACCTGCCTGCCAACGCCTCCAGGGAGGTGCCAGGCGACGGATGACCTGACCTGCTTCAAGTTCAGTTTTCTTGTCCTCAATCCCTCCACTCGTGAACAAACGAGTTTTCTGGGATCTTGGTGCGAGGGTATTTCAAAAGCAGGGTCATGCAGAGCTCCATGCCTGTCCTACCAGCAGGTGCATGCAGGGCGGGGACGGCGAGCGTGCTTCCCGAGAGGCGCCGGCAGAGGGAGCGCGAGGACCGGCAAAGAGGTTGATTGCTAAGCCAGGCGAGCTCGGGAGAGGCGGGCCGCCGCCGTCCCCCCACCCCCTTCCAGGACCTGGGCACTGGAGAAAGGGTCCCCGCTCCTCAAGAGGAGGCACGCGACGTGACGAGGATACGGACCCACATTCTTTCAGGGAGGAGAGAGCGTTGCAGCACTCGCCCGGAGTAGGGAGGAACTGAAGATCTGATGCTGATGGTTACCGGGGTGTGAATCGAGTGAGACTCCTTCCCAGACTCATCTCTGGCTAGGACTCTGTGCCTCAGTTTCCCCTTCAGGAATTCTGTTCCTGTTGATGAAAGTTATAAACTGGAAGAGCTGTGAGTGACATGACCGAGGACTATCGCCTGCCCTGGTCACCCTTTTCTTGGCCCAGTCTGTCTAGACGCAGCTTGGAGGTGAAAGAGATGGATGGAGACTGGAGAGAGTGGCCACGGGACAGGCACGCAGGGAAGCCTGGGGAGGAGCCGAGAAGGACGTGGTCACACGGGCTGGGGCCGGTGCCCATGAGCCTGGCGGATCTCTGCTGCGACCCTTCCCCGGCCGCGGTCTGCACTGACTCCTTCACTCCCCTGATGCTCTCTACCAGCTGCGGTGATTTATGGCTGGGCCAGGCCTGACGACCTTGGACGGATAACTAATGACAGGTCAATAACGCTACAGAAAAAGTGAAGTGAGGACCGAGGCCCATCCCTTTCCGCCCATCCCCGGCTTCTGTCCCCCTCCCACCAACACAGGGCTTGGCGCACATCACTGACGTCTCCTTGCACGGGTGGGAGGCTCCCCAAGGTTCCTCGACAGATCTGGTGGTTAAACCAGCTGAAATGGGGCTGGTGTAGGGCCTAAACATACTGCAGAGACCCCAAGTGGGTCATCCGCAGTGTGGGCCGTCTTTGTGGGTCCCATGCTACAGGCAAGAGGAAGCCTCTGGGAAAGTAAAGCTGGCGCTTGGAATTGCTACCAGGCACAAGGCAGGAAGCCTCAGAGAGCAATAGGGAGGAAGGTTAGCGCAGTAATCCAGTCTGCCGTCCCTGGCTGTCTCTTTTCTTTGGCCTCCCTCTCCGGAGTCTCAAAACCAACTACCAGGAAGACAATGTTTGCTTCTGTTTTCCAGACACTTCATTAACCCAGGTGTCCCGTTTGCATGCGAATTGGGGTGGGGAACATCCCCCCTCCTGCCTGTGTCATCTGGGGACTCCTGAGAACCCACTGCTGCCTCCTCCTCTTGGGTCTGCCAACTTCCTGGTTCCTGTTTGAGACATCCTGATTCCCGGGCTATGTTAGAATCCCGGGAAAGGTAAGCAGCCTAGGATACCTGGCTTGAGTTCCTGCCTCCTGGACAGCAGGCCAGGTCAGCACCTGGGGACCAGTGTGGGCTTTTCCACCTTCTGTCCCATTCTGTGTGTGGGGAAGCTGAAGCTCATGGAGCCCTCGCTGAGCAGTCCGGCAGAGGGAGGCTCTGAGACCTGCAGCCTGATCTAATGCTTTAAACTAGTCTCTCCAAGCCACCACCCAGGGTCCTGGTCCTTCCTCTGTTGGCTCCTCCTTAACCATTGTCAGCTCCAAAGAAGACACCCAATAAAGGCCACAGAGGCAAGAACACTCTGCTTCTAGATTAAACGCAAGGGACAGAACTGCCTAAGAAGTATAGGGCAGTGGGAGTGGCCTGGTGCCTGAGGGTACCAGACAATCTCTGTGACACAGGTAGACTCCTATCTGTGTAGTCTCAGATGCATTCAGTAGGCCAGGACCATGTGGATGCCATGTGCTGGGGCGGGGCGGGGGGAGGAGCCACACTAGGTAGCATATAGGACAAGTGTGTAAAGGGAGAGACTTCTTGTGGAGTAGAAATGTCAGAAGCTTGGGGGTACAGACCCTAAATTTCCCCCCACCGATTACTCCGCCTCTAGCTTTTTGCATACCCTGTTCCAAGCCACAGATACCAACTTCTCCTCCAAACCCTCCTGTCTCCTCAGCCTGAAAACCCCAGGGGTTCCAGCTCTGGGTCTGGCTGCATAATTTTCAGGGTCCATAAAAACATGGGGTTCTTCGTTTAAAAGTTATGAGGAGTTTCGAGACAGAAACAGCGGAACTAATAAAGCGAGCACAGGGTTCTTGGGAATGCAAAGCGCATGTCACACATCAATGAAGTCAGCCCTACCCTGCCACCACCAGCAAGCTCTCTTCCCATCCAGTGACTTGATGGTGTATCTCTGTCACCCTGGGTCTGTCACCTGTACTGTCCCTACCTCCCCTACAGCTCCCTGCTTCTTGCTGTAGAGCCTAGAAGGGTCTTCCCACTCACCTGGACTCCCAGCTCCTGCTGCTGCCTCCATTTTCCCATTTCTGTATGTTTTGCTCAGTATTCAGTCCCTCTAGAAAATTCACCCTTCCTTTGCCGTCTCCTCCAGGAAGGCCCTTGGTTTTTGACATAATAAACGCCACACTGGGCCGAAGCACAAATCACTCCCTCCACCTTCATTCCAGGCCATTTGTCTGGCCCCGCCAGCAAAGCTAGCAAACAGGGATGGTGTCCTATTCATCATCAGAGCTTCCCCAGTGCTAGCTGACACCTGCATGGCAGGGGCTCAGTTAATATTTGTTGATGCAGCTGTGGACATCTTCTGCCTGTGTGTTCGCGTTTGGCCATTATTGTATATTGAGCAGTGTGCGGGGCCTGCGTACATACACACGCGTGTATGCTGTGTGCATTCAGATTTTGGTACTGTGCATGTGTAGTCAGGTACACTAGGATCATACACACACAGCAACGTAAGCGCTTTCTTTTTTCTTCCTCTCTTACCCCCCCCCCCTTAGATAGGCTCTCTTGTGTATTTCTGGCTGGCCTTGAACTTGGTATGTAACTGAGGGTGACCTTGAACTTCTGACCTCCCTCCTTCCCAAATGCTAGCACCCCTGGTTCATCTGGAGCTCAAACCCAGAGCTTCATGAATGCTAGGCAAGCACTCACTGGACCAACGAAATTACATTTCCTCACACCCTTTCCTGGTATTTTTGTTTGTTTGTTTGTTTGTTTGTTTGTTTGTTTAGACCAGGTCTGGCTAAAGTCCAGGCTATCTGGAAAAGCGCAGCGCCATCCTCCTGCCTCAGCTTCTCTGGTGCTGGTAATACAGGTGTGCACTACCTCTCCCAGCTTGCGCATGAATCCGGCTCTATGAGTGGATTTCTGCTGGTACACCAAGATCCATGTGGCAGACATGAGCCCATGTGAGGCAGTAAAGGACGTGCGTGTGCCTGGCCATGAGAGGTTGAGGTTGTGCCTGGACAAGAGCCGCAGGTGCATCGTGCAAGGACACAGGCGGCTGGCGCGTGTGCCGGCCATGTGTGTGCACAGCTGCGTGTCCTGGCAGGCGGGACGCCCCGTGCGCCCCCTGCGCCCGCTGAGCGCTCTGCTTTGTTCCTCCGCCGCGGGCGGCCGCGTGGTCTCCCGGCTCCGGGCTCGGGCATCTCCGTCGGCCGGCCGGGATTGGCAGCGGGCGACCGCAACGCGGCTCCCTCCCCGGCGGGCGGAGCCGGATCGGCTCCCGTTACCGGCGCGGGTGGGTGGGGGTGGGGTGGGGGGCGCCAGGCCATCCATCTTCTGTTATTACAGCGTAATGGGGCTGCTCGGGCGCCCGCCCATTTGTCATCGGCCTCGTTCGCTGATAACGGGCATTTGTCATCACTTTCCTCTGCCAATGTCATCAGCGCCGCTGACAGCGGGAGGGGGGCACACGCACATGGGCCTGCTGGACACGCGTTCCTGCATATACACACTAGCACATGAAACCTGGGGGAGGGCACAGGGGCCCTGGGGAGGGGGCATGTGTATCTGTCTGTATGTGGACCAGAGCTCCTTAGAGATGGATGCATAGCAGCCTGCACAGATGTTCCCAGCTGCAGATCTTCCTCCGCAGCCTTGGGGGGGCGGGGGATGAGTGCAGGTGGCCTTCTGCCAGATCTCTTTGTGTGACACGCCCACGGGCTCCACAGACCTGCGTGTGGCTGTGTCCCACTGGCAGCCCAGCAGCGATCAAAAGGTCACATTCAGGCCTCCTGGGATTCTCAGACCCAAAGACTTTGGGAGAGGCCACAGGACAGGACAGCCTGCTTGTGGTTGCCAGGACAATGGGCTCCTTCCTCTAAGCCCTCCAGAAACAGTGTATGTGGCCTGGGAGTCACTTCCACTCCTGGCTCCGCTCAAGCTTTGAGCTTGGACTGATCTGTAGCAAGAGAGACTCAGTAAAGACTGCCAAAAGAACTTCCCATTTGAAAGAGGCACAAGGCTGACTGGTGAAAGGATGCTACTGGCAGCCAGGAGAGGAGCTCAGAGGAAAAGAAAAACTGTGTTTTGTGTCCTCTGGGTGGGCTAGGGGCTGGCCACTCCCCACAGGACTGTGTCTGTCTTCCTGATGCTGCCTCAGGGTGGCAGAGGGGACCCCATTAGCCCTTATTAGGCAGGCTCCTCTCCCATTTCACTGGTCTCTGGTTGCCTGGCACATATTAGGTGCTCAATAAGTCGCTATTGAATGGATAAATGATTGAGGACATGGTGTATGGGGCAGTGGGGGTCCCCAAAGTCCTTCCCAGAAAGGTCACCAGACACTGATGGCCCGGGTCTCATCTCATCTCCTCCCTTTGACTCCCCTCCTGATTTCTTATGCAGCCCCCCAAATTCCCCTTCTCCCTAGGCCTCTCCCTCCTGGGCAGAGGGGGAGGGGGAAGGTCCCTTGGCAGAGCAGGGCTGGCTTGTTCCTTGTAAATGAAGACCATAATTAACATTAAATTAAGGTAATACAAATGAAGGCAACACAGAGGCTGACAAGATGAGCGTTTGGGGAGGCAGTGGGGAGAAGTGATTCATATTTTTAATTTACTGTACGGATAGGCCGTGTGGCTGGGGAGCGGGCGGCTTGCATGGAGGGGGTGTTGCCCCGCCATGTTTGCTGGG